ATATATATATATATATATATATATACACATACATACATATTAACAAACAGCACATCATATCTTTCATTCATTTATAGTTATTTGTTGTTGTTCTGTCGGCTTCTCCCGTTAGGGGTCACCACAGTGGATCATTGGTCTGCATATTTGATATGGCACACTTTTTATGCCAGATGCCCTTCCTGACACAACCCTCCCCAATTTTGTCCGGGCTTGGGACCGGCTCTGGGAGTGCCCCACCCCAGTGGCTGGGGGTCGGTGCCCTGGCTGGGAATCGAACCCGGGCCACGTCGGTGAAAGCACCGAGGCCTTACCACTAGTCCTCCAGGGGCCCTTCATATATAGTTACTTATTTGTTAATAAATAATTAATAATTAATTAATAACATTTATTAATGTTGTGGAACATCTGTGAAACAAGGTGGTTCCTGTTATTTCTGTTCAGTAAGCATTTCCTCATAAAAAGTTAATAAGATAAAAAAAAAAAACATAGATTGATGAAGACTTTCCCATGATGAAAAAAAAACCCCTAAAAGTTACAACTTTACCTCTGACACAGGAGACACCTTCCTTAAATCCGTTTACGTGGATAAACTTGTGATTTGTCTCGCAGCCGCAACAATCTTCAGGGCTGCTGTTATTGAAAATGAATGAACACCTTCTGACCAATCAGTATCGAGTGTTCAAGAGAGCCATGCTGTAATGAAGACAAATGAATGACTGATTAACAAACACAATCTCGCCTGCACTGTCTTCAGTAATATCTATTGAACATAATCAATATGATTTCCTTAAACCTCTTCAAACGTTCCACAAAAAGCTTTTTCCTGGCAGCTGATAAGGACATGTGCAGTGTAAATGGGGAGTGATGGGGTTTAATTGATGATGATAAATTAGGCGGAGTGGAGCTGTGAGCTGACAGCACGGCAGGTGGAGTGTTTCTGCAGGTGTTTGTGCTGAATGGAGCACGTCGCCATACACACCTTAAAGACACCACGCAGCCAGGCTTATTTTAGTTCAGCTTTTAATTTGTGAACCGTTTTTGAAAAGAGGTATAGGTTCATTCGAAACATTCACAGTGCACACAGTGTAGGCTATTATTCCCTGTGATTCATTTAGCAAATGCTTTTATCCAGAGTGACGTTCCAGTGAGACAGGATACAAGCATAAAGCTGAACAGCTGACGGTTAAAGACCTTACTTTCAAAAACTTTCAATTACATTTGACAACCTTTTCACTGAGTTATCACTACCTCCTGCTAAGCTAAATCTTTGTGGAAATTAACTGCTCGCTTTCAGATTCTAATGCGAATCTAAATGAGTGCTTTATTAGAGGCAGGCGCACTTGGAGAGTAAAGCAATTAAGCCCATAGATAAAAGACTCATATCAGCACTAACATGAACTGGAAAACATTAATATATGTGGTGTGACCAAAAATGTGCTAGCAGGGCTTGTTTTTCAAAGACATCGATATAATGTTTCATTTTTTGGCATCCACATCAGATTATTTGTGATTAATGAATGTCTTAAAGGGGATTAGTTTGGATTTTTTGCGAAACTCACTATATTTCATGTGAATTGGGGCTTTTTTTTTTTAAAGATTAGATTAGATCTGGATTGTTCCAATAAAATAAACCCATTTCCAATATTTCTTAATTCATTAACATTTAGCAAACATTTCATGATTCACTTATACCCATTGATGGGGTTAACTTTCTAACTTTAGAATATTTCAAATGAGGTCATTGGGACAAAAATGCAAAATACAGGCAGTTCAACAACTTTTGGCTGGCAAGAGATATTTGCAAAGAACCATTCAATTGAGAGAAAAACCAACATGCAGGCATCTGAAAAGGAAATTATGAGTAGACTTGCATTTAGAGCTGTGCAAATCAACCAGTTATTGGGTCATTGTGAGAGTCAATGCAGCTGTAATGGCCTCCATTCAGCATCCATTTGCTCAGGTCTGTGCTGATTTTCTTATTTCACACCAAATCAGTTTTTTTTTTCCTTTGGTTGTTTTATTTACACGAAGGCTCGTGACGTGCTCACATTGGAGGAAGCAATTGGGATTCCTCAACATTCTCATTTCACGACAAAGCAAAGAGCAAAGTGCCAAATTGTGTGTGATCCATTTCACAGCTGTAACTGAGCATTCACAAATTACAATACCATACAGTGAGAAGAGAAACTGGACTTCAGTGGGTTAAACGCGTTATTCACATTATAAAGACAAACGCAACATGCTGTTTGACTCAATATAAAGCGTGTGAAGAAATTTGCGTTGCCTTCATAGAAGTGAAAGATCACATCTCATATAAACAATGTTAATATATATAATGACGATTTTCTCTTTGCTTCATAAAACAACACTAATGTTTGGGTTAAGCAAAGACCAAACCGAATGGATCACTGGGTTTAAAGTTCAGATGTGTTAATCATGCAATTCAGAAGTCACAGCTGTCACATGTTCCACTTTGCAGATAACCCACACTGAGCTCAAAGTGCCCTGCACTGTCATTCTTTATTAACTTATACATTTATACATTTGCCTCATTAAAAATAATATAAACCAACATTATACTGTGTATTATGCTTAAATTATGTATAATATGGTAAATTAAATTATTTCTAAGTCAGGATAATAAGCATACAATGTATGTTAATATAAGGTACCATTTTTGGTCACAGTTTTTCCACCAGACGTTGCAAAGTGCCAATTTAAAGCTCATTAAAGTTTTTTACGAATATAAATAAAGAAATAAATTGAAAATAAAATGCATTTGAAGATTGTTCTGTTTATACCAATTTTTTATGTATTATTTTTTTATAGTTTTATGTTTTTTAAATGCCTTAATTTAAACAAACAAATAACTAAATAGAATATATATATATATATATATATATATATATATATATATATATATATATATATATATATATATATATTTTTTTTTAAACAGTTTATACAGTGTTATAGATAGGTTATAGCAGATTAAAATAAAAAAAAACTATGGTGAGATGATACATAAATGTGTATTTGTCAAGTCAAGTGGTTTTAACTGTCAGTCCTCTATAAAGGTTGTATACCCTGGAACGCAAGGTTGTTTCCCGGGCCCATGGTGCAACACATAACAATCCAGTGGTACAGTACACAGTACATTGGACTGTGGAACATGTGACAGCTGTGACGTGCAAATACAAGAAGAAAAAAAAAGTGTGAGATGAGTGCAAACAATACAATCAATCCACAAGTCAGTGCACATCAGCCAGACAGAACAGAACATAATTACTGAATTCATTTCTTAATTAATAATTAAGCATTAAAAGCAGTTATTTAAAGAATGCAGTAATTTTAAAGTTACTGGCAGGATGAAAATAATCTACTAAACATTGTAAACATTTACAGCCCTTCCAGCTGGACTTTATGAGCAATAACCTGGGAACATCACATGCACGTTTGGCCCTGTGGTCCGCTAACCACGCCCACAATAGCGTTAGTCAAAGCGGGGGAGATGATTGGCCAGGGAGATCTGGCAATCATGTGTGGAGGCCACGCCTCCCGCTGTGTAATCCGCTGTAGCGAGAGCGGAGGGACTTTTTCTCCATCTCACAGATGTTTCAGTATGAGCAGAGAGGAGTGCTGCAACTTTCCTGAGGAGGATTTACTTTTCCACGCGTAAATGTTCAGGTGAATCGAGGGGATAACATAACAGTGTACAAGTTGAAGGAATTTGACTCTTATAGAAGAAGAAGAAGAAGAAGAAGAAGAAGAAAGAGGAAAAGAAGAAGAAGAAGAAAATGCCTGTAGCTATTCTCATGCCTTTCACCGTAACCCCGAGTAGGAAGTCCGTTAGCGCGAGCTCGTTCAGGCTAACGGAGAAATTCATTCTGCTCCTAGTTTTCAGCGCCTTCATCACCTTATGCTTCGGAGCTATCTTCTTCCTGCCGGATTCATCCAAGCTGTTTTTCTTCCGCTCCGACCCGGCGATGGAGGGCGACACCCGGACAGGTACGGACGGAGACTCCGGCGGAACGGGCAACGACGAGAAAATCCTGGCGAAGATCAGGAGAGACCACGAACAGGCTCTGCTGGAAGCCAAGGACACGCTGCAGAAGCGGCCGGATGAAATCAAGCAGGACATCCGGAGCGAGAAGGACCAAGTTGCGAAGAACAGAGCAGGCGGCAGTGACGACGGCTCGCTGCCCGTTATCGAGTACGCGCGAGCACCTGGGGCAACGGGGCGCGAGCCCTCCGACCCGGAAACGAGGGAGAAACGAGCGAAAATTAAAGAGGTACACAGTTATACTTTGTCGTGTACGAATTATTCTTTGACTCCATCTTCTGAGTCGACTAAACAAACAAACAAAACATCCAGGTTGGTATAAATGTCAGCGTTTGAGTCAGTGCTGAGGTAAGTTAGCTTCCTCGGGTAATTAGCTGCCTCGTTACAGTCTAGTCAGAAGTTCGCCCTGAGGAGAGGAATAGTTTCTGAAACAAACAAAAGAACCATTAGCCTGTAGCCTGTACAGCAGCTTAGATACACCCAAGGGATAATGTTAGGTTAGTGTTTAAGGCAGCTGGCTGAGAAACAAGTTCATAAACTGGCTGTTATAGCAGGTTATATTGCGCCATGTTCATGTTATCGCCTCAGCAATATAAAAATATCCCATGAATACACGACATTTGATACCTCTTACATGTTAAATGTCAGTGAGTTTCGAGTTTCGCTTTGTTTCACTGAACAGGAAAAGGAAAAACAAGGTGAAATGCCACCTATCAGCTTTGCTATGTGCTAAAATAATGAAGCTATGTCACACTCTTGGAGATTAGTGAAGGAACAGGGTTCAGACTACAAGCACTAAAGGTGTTCTCCAAAGTTCAGCGCCAGAAGGTCAGTAGACTTCCTCAGCGAGAATGGCATCATTGTACGATTGATGGACGTGGAAGCTTAACCTCAGAGGAAGGTCAGCTTGCTTTTCTTTCAGTAGAAGTAGCACCGCTGTATTACTGTGATTCATTTGGATTTGATGGATTTCTCTTCCTTACAGCTGAGGCAGAGCAGTCGAGGGGTAAGGACGTTGCCCATGAGATCGGCAGTGACTCGCTTTCTGGCAGCCTGCGACATGTCAGGAGAGAGAAACCTTCCCAGTCAGCATAAAGACGCTTAAAATGCACGAAAAGGGCATGCTTGTTGTAATTCATTGTCACTACGTTTTGGCCAGAGTGAAAGTTTTTACTACATCTCTTAGAAAAGGCAACTCTTGTTGTTTACCATGTGTCAGGTTGAATACGGGTCATAAGCTCAATGTCAAAAGGTCAGTAAACTTT